GAAATCACATATGTTTTCTCCTCACCTACTAACAAAAAACATATAAACAACTAAAGTGCTACAAGGAATCCAAAATCACTGATCTTTTGATAAGGATTGCCACACCAACTAACCCTTATTTGAACCAGCTCATTCATAAACTGATATTTACTTGGTGAGGTGTTCCTTATCCAAGTTCGAGTAACTCGACTATCATCAGTCATAAATTGAAACCATCGGCAACAGATGGAAGACATGTAGAATTTAGCACGAACGAACTTGGAAGAAATCTACCTTCAGCGCTGCCCGAATGGTTCAAGAATCAAGAGTTTGAAAATTCAATATCCAAGGAAATTGTGAAAATAACATCATAAATTTGCCACAAAGAAAAACATCATAATTTGATCTATTTTAGAAGTTGAAGAGATTCCAGGTCTAGTATCTACAAGTTCTAAATTATTCAGGACCGTAATCGAGTAACCAAATAAGCCACTCACCACTATCAAAAAATGAGTCAAGGAAATGCCACATCAATACCAAGAAGTAAGAACACAAGCCTTCTCTCCTCTTGTTAATTCTACACCAAAGGCTACCAGAAGAATGAAAAGTTCCTATAAAGTCCCTACCATAATATCTGTGAGAACACTTGCATTAAAAGCAAAGATTCCAACCAGTAGTTCCATGTACACTTCCAAGGAATTTTAAGTTTTTAAATGTATACTAATTTGGACATTGTAATTTAATTTGAGTGAATCTAAGCTTATAACCTGATAACAAATGAGACAAAATGCTGCTATTTTTTATGCCACTTCCTTTTTCCGCAATTTTGTCCGTGCGTGTGTTATATTAATCAACAGCATAGCAGTATCAATACAGCTTTCCTTTTCACCTCATTCAAAAAGTTTGCCATACAGTTGAACATAGAAACAACATGATATGAAAAATTCAAAACATTTTATGTGCACTGATGAATTGTGCACTGATGAATTAGCAATGTGTTGATGAGGCAAATAATCTGCGGAAGAATAAATAACTGCTACTTCTCTATTTTACTCATATGCAAGAATACCAGTGAAGAGATTAATTATATCGAATATAGAGTTAATCAGATGAAAGGACTGATTATATGCAAAATATTCTATCTGGAATGTAAGAAAACTAATAAAGATTGGCATTCAGATATACTGTATAATGTAGAAAAGAAGAGAGTAAATTATGCTAATTTAATCAAGAAGATAAATGATTAATCACCTGGGAGTTCATGACATAAACATCTGCTGCTGAATATAGAGAGGCAATCCGTGTAGTTGTAGGAAATCCAGAGTACAGACTCAGACAACTTTGCATGATGCGACAAGAAGTTCAGAATTTCTTTAACATAAGGTATCTCATTGCTCTTAGATCCAACAGAACCAATAAGAATTTTAAGATCTTGTTCCTCTGTTCCTTTTCCATCAAATATCTTCCTTCTGTGACTGTTTTTGACACCAACAGCCTTTGTGGTGTTTACAGAGGAAAATTTGCCTCTTAAATGATGCTTTACAGCCAAGGTGGACTGATCTTGCCTAATATCGGATGATTTTTTAACTTTGGAATCAATTTGTAAAGGATATTGATCAATCATAAGGCGGGCTGATTCAAGAAGAATGAGCTGGCCCTTTCCAGCATTTATGCTACTTAGAGACATTACAAGCATATCATTATCTTCCAAAGCCATCTCTTTTCTTACTGCAGCTCGCAATAACAGCCTTTTCTCTAACATTTTTTCCGGGCTGGCTGATGGAGTATTTAAAGAACAAGCAATACCAGCTACAAAAGCCAACTCATCATTAATAGCAAGTGGAACAAGAGTAGGCTGAGATCTCAGCTTAATATTTTCTTCTTTACACCAAGTAACCACTGTCTACTCTGCAATTCAGATAAGAAAATAAGCATTTTCACCCGGTTTAAAACAAGTTTTGACCGATCAAAGTTTCTCTTTTATTTTCCATGATCCACCAAGCAATTTGACTTCCTCCAGCTGGGAAATGTTCATATATTGATCTGAAACCAACACATCACAGGTAAGTAGAGCAAGATAACTTAAAGCTCTAGAAATGCTGCAACCTTATATCAGCTAATGGTTGATCATCATATCCGCATAAGCAATAACTTAAAAAAAAATCGCCTATAAATTTCTCACCAATCCATAATGCACAGACTGCTGATCCTGCAATCACAAGGTCTGCCTTCATGGCAGTTTTGAAGCTAAGATCTGCACTGTCTTCAATCACTTTGATCCTTCTCCTCGCAAGCTCGGACATAAGCCCTCCTTTCTTACTCAGAACAACAGCAGATACAGTGGCTCCACAGCTCAAAAGCTCTGTTGCCAACTCCATCATTGAAATTGGAGCCCCAGTCATCGAGAGTTCATGAAATACCAACACAAATCTTCTAGACCAAACAAGGCGTGAAAAATGCCCCTTCCTGTCACATGTTCCAGATCGCTTTTCAGGACTCCACTCCAGAACTCTGTCCTCCACTGCTCCAAAAGGACCAACAAGCAATCCATAAGTAGAATTAGTCAGTGGAATTTCCTGTTCCTGATCCTCAGTGTCATCAATTTCAATGTTCATTTGTGCCTTCGATTTACCACTCGTCTTGTGTGAATTACGCCTTGCTCTTTTACTTTTTTTCTTCTTAGATGAGACTTCTTTCCCAGTCTTGGACAAAATCACATCAAACTTTCTATCACTAGACGCCTGAGTTTTATTAGTTCCATTATTCACTGCTACCAAACTATTATCAGCAAGCAAATCTCGTCGTGCATTCTTTTCAGCATCTACAGGTTTATTTCTAGGATCACCACTGAAACCCAAAAATTCCTCCTTTTTATGACCATGAACCCACCCGGACTGGACATAAAATCCAAGGTAAGCCCAAAGAGTAATCAAAAGCAACCAATACGCTAATCTGTTGCTCCTAAACCATTGAATGCCACCAACTCCACTTCTAGCTTCTCTTCTTGGCGTTTGGCTTGAATGCAGTTTCCGAGAAGTAGGAGAATTTTTTGGAGATGATCTTCCTGATAGACTGGACTTAAGGCTGCCTAGCCTCAGTGATGATGGTCCCTTGCTGACACTTTCCTCCATTAGCATCTGCCTATAGTTACTTCTGTCAAGCTAAATGAATATTCTTAATATTTAGAAAATAAGAAACAAGTAGCACTTAAAGATCCCTTCCGTTCTTCGAGCTCCAAATGCTTACAAGTACCTCCTTCTACAGGTTTCTAAACTCCAAACCTACATCAACGAGGAAAATAAGATTTCGTGTTTTTCAGACAACATAATAATATCTAATGCAAAAAAAAAAAAAAGTAATGAAAATATGGTTGGTATAGGTAAAGAAACAAAAAAGTGACGAGCAAACAACAACCTGAGCTTATTTGAACAAATTAAAGCTGTCAAAAAAAATATGTTTTATATTTCGGACTAACAGAAGGTTGAAAAGCGAGATCTCAATTTCCTTTTGCCTTCTGCATTCATCATAAACTAAAATTCAACTGATAAAGAACTAAGTTGAAATACCTCTCTTTGCTCAGTGTCTAAAATACCAAGGCAATAAAATCAAGAAACTGATCAACCAGCAAGCAATTAAGATTTTAGAGTGTTCCAAGTTCATGAAATATTAAAAAGTCCTTAAAAAAGGTCGATTTATCTGATTCCTAGGAAACAATGTGTTGACAAAAACTACATTCAACGTTTTGTTTGTGCCCATTGTCAACTAGTTTTCAAGAACCAATCGTAATATTTCAATTTTCAAATCTCATACCACATTTTCTTCCTCTCGACAACCAAAATCATCTTAGCGTTTCTAACTAACTTGACAAAGAAAAGAAAAGAAAATTGACTTAGCACCGACAACCAAAGCTAGAAAAGAAAAGCCCGACAACCAAAGCTAGAATCAAACTTTTAACATTTACGCTAGTGAGAACTTAACAGCAGTAAAAACAAAGCACTGAAACTTTAAGATATCAATTATGCAATAAAAATATCTTAGCATGAAAAGCAACTAGAGGTTAGCTTACACTAAAAGAGACTCGAAAGAAAGCGAAGAAATCACTATATTCTCTCATTTCTGATCTCCATTATTGATTGATCTGACTTATTAGCTTACACTCAACAATAAAGTTGCAAAAAGAAGGGGGGGGGAGAGAGAGAGACGTATAGTTAAAAAAATTAACAAAAATACATAATCCCATAGAGAGAGATGTCTGTGGCGTTATCTGCCTTTCGAACGGATCGCACGTGCGATTAAACACGTGTGAACTTTGGGTGAGTTTTAATGTAAACAGCTGTCTCCGGTCGTCTACTGAATCGTCTGATCGCAGTCGGAGATGATGTTTGTATAACTCGAACGATGGTTACAGTTGTGGGGCAATTATGAAGAGAACACGTGGAATAAATAGGGCTGGAGTGAACCAGTTCTAGTATATTTATTTGCTTAATGAACCGTCGGTGGGTGTATTAATGTGAAAATTATGGCCGTTGGATTATTAAAAATAGATTTGAGATTGCTTTGATCAATGAAGTCTCTAGACTCTTGGTCCCACTAGCTTCATTTATTCATTTTTTAATCATAAAAATGCAAGTGAACTGCCAATCTAAAAAGTTTTAGAAAGCAAAATAAAAACATAAATAGTTTTAATATAAATATATAACAAAGAAACAGCTCTAATAGTTTTATAAAAGAAAAGTTATCCCGAATATATTAAGCAGATTACTCCAAACATTTTTACTAAATAAAAATTTAAATAAATGGATTGTCTGTCGTTTACTAAATCCAAGTAGCTGAGCTGTTCAACTATCTATTACTTCAGGTCTGCAAGAATGCAAATTGTTAATTAAACAAGGAACACTTTGTTAATTATCTTGCAGCATTCCTTGAACCAGTTTTAATCTGATGCATTGTTTAACCCCAGCTCTTAAATTTGTATTCACTCAACATTCTTAAACAAAAAGACGAACCGAATAGACAAGAGATTGAAATCAACATAAAACTTCAGGAAAACGCTTGATCACCATTCACCAAATGCACTGATAAAGTTGAAGAATCCACAAACAGAGATGTACACACTCAAAACCAAGCTCAACCCATCAACCAGACAAGTATGCTTTCACCGAACAGAGATAATGACACCTTCCGTGCAAATAAAATAAATAAAGCTCGTCAACAAAACAACTGCTGTACAGTAATTCTTGTTCACACTTTTACAGAGAAGCCCGACTAAAACTTCTCACAAGCTTCATCAAAAAACCAAGCCACAAGGAAAACCTGCAAGAAACTATGATAGCAGTTTCAGGAATTTTTGCAGAGCCAAGCCAGATTGTGAGAAAAGTACTATTTTCTCTAAATGAGTATCCGTATTGCACATTAAACAAGGGAATGCTACCTGTCAGCCACAATAATTCTTAACTGAATGCAGCATAAGCAGGCGTTTGTCACATGTAACTGCCAGAACAAATTCGAAGAAGGAGAGAGAGATGTTAGAATGAATGAACAAGGACACCTCCAATTAATGGCAGGAGATAATTACTGCACATAATATACTGACTCAGAACTCATTTAAGCACAAATGCCTAGGAAAAAAAACTTCAATACTGGCAAAATGAAACAGGGCCATCTTAAATCAATGAAATAGTCTCTCAAATGGCAACAACGTTAAACTATATAGATTATATTATTGCTTGATTCTAACCTTTCATATGTGCCAGAAGTTACTAGGGATGAAACATGGTTTACCTACACAATCCTGGAACAAGCTGCAGCCCAAAGTGTTCCAGGTCGAACTCTGGAGACCACAAAGGGCCAGGAAGAAGGGCCTGCACCACCAAGTAATAAACAAATAAGAATTCCAAACTCCACAAGATAATAAGAACTTCTTTGGAAATTTTGACCTTCATCAGTTTTTAATGGGACGGGCTCCATCTTTAATAAGTACATCACTTGCTAAAGCTCATTCCGAATATCTACATGAAAAAAAAAGACAAAACAATTCAAGAGTCTTACATATACAGATGATAGAAACGGAGTAAAAAAATCCACCCATCCACAGAAAGACCTTAAGATTTTCAACTTGCCTGCGAGGCTGCTTATTTGGGTTATTTTGCCGTTGCCCAAATTCATCACTCACAAGCTCTGCATTGGGAACATGTTTAACTGCCGACATATAAGAAACAGGAAAAGTCTATGTTCAGAAATCTAAGATAAAGGCAAGATCACGGCTTACCAGTTCTCTCGGAGAGCTTCCATTCATTATTGGTTTGTTAGAAGTATTTTCTTTGCTGCGAAAGGTAATTAAATATTAAATAAACAACCAGCAAGCAACATAATGACCAATTTTTAACTTGTAAATAGCACAAAACACAACCAGATGCACCTCTGTAATCTTAGAATCCATTACTTTTGGCATCTCTCACTCAAACGCTTAAGGTAAATCACGAAACATTTATCTTTAAGGGTGCAAGGCCCTGACCATCAAACAATCTACAATAAAAACATTGCAAACTGCATCAATGGGCCGTTATGGAGATTAACATGAACATGAAAACTAATAATACGCTTTTAGAACATCTTTCAACAATTATTTTCTGTTTTCAAGTAAAGTATGTGAAAAGAAAAATGCTTCTATCTCCTATGTAAACCAATCACACAATCATCCTCCATAAGACCTCACATGTCTCACCAAATATTATCGTTGTGATTCTATAAAAGATTCATAAATAAGGAGAGAAGGCATTATCTAAAACTAACAATCTTTAAGACGTACACATGCATTAAGCTTAATTTACAAAAACTACTGCATAAAAATTTCAAAATCCACATTCAATATAAAGACATACAGCGGAGGTATCATAGATGAAAACAAATTCCAATCACAAGGAACATGAATGATTAACACAAACCAAAAGTCCAAATTAAGAAGGAATGAAGGAAAGAGAGGAGAAGAAATAAATCCTACATCTCCAACCAGATTGGAATAGTAGCCAGAATACTAGAAACTGAAGGAAAAGGAATATACAACATGAATGGTTAATACTAGAAAATGACCGACAAAGTCTTTGAGAATGGAAGGAAGATTCTTTATATATTTATACATACCTATTATGATGCTCTTTAGGAATTGAAGGTAAAATCTCATTGGCCCTTCCCAGGTCTCCACGCATCACTGGTGTCTTGTACTCTATCAGGTTGAGAAGTAATGTGTATCCCATCACACTGTAACATAAGACAAAAATGAGAATAAATACAAATTAATAATGTATTTTCAAAGGAAAAAAACAAGAGATTTAAACGTGAAAATTAGCCATTGCCAGCTGACTTACTTGAATACTTTGTCTATCAGATACACCCGACTTTGACTTGCAAGATATCCCAACAAGTACATAGGATGGTCCAAATGAAACATTGTGGTGACCTAAAATCGTTAGATCATCAAAAAAAAAATTTGATAAGAAATGGAGGCTTTGTTAGATCATCAAAATGGAACTGTTACAAGTTACAAAAACAAATGCATTTAAACCTATGAAACACTTTCAAGGAAATGATAAGCAGAACAAAAATACCTCTCAACCAACAAAGTAATTAAGTCTCATGAAGAGTTATTCTAAATGAAACAGTCCCCCAACCCATATCCGGTCCTGACATGTTCATTGGTTTCATGAAGAAGCTCAAATTCATCCTCAACTCCTTGTTCATCAACTGGCGTTCCACTATCTAAGGAAGATTGAACTACTTCCCGCTGCAACATCAAAATATTAAATGCAGTTCTGTATGACTGCATGAAAGCGTGCATGTGTTTAACAGACAAAAGAAGAGTCCAGGGTGCAACCTATTTTGCAGATCTAATAAGCAGATAATATAAAGAGACTTACATTGTACTTTAGGATATATAAAGATGTATCACTGGCAATTGCCACCAAGTCACCACTATCAGCTCAGTAAAGATTCTGACATATTCAATAACATAAACAAAACTACATTTAGGATTCAACATAGCTAAGAAGCGGCAAATGTGGTTCATATAGCTTTTTAGCTTACTTAACAGTAACATCAATCCGACGAATCAACTGCATTCAGCCCACTATAAAAGCAAATAAAATCATTAGAGTGCATTGCCAGTAAAGTGCCCCCAAAAATACGCTCAGCAGAGAAGGTAGGCCAGACAATCTTCTTTTCCTGAAAATGTAAAATCCTCATCAATTCCACCAAATTGTAAAAAGGAATCTCGTACGTTGTATTAGATAAAATTCCAATATAGAGAACCCACCATAATAACATGACAAGTTAATAATTATAAATTTATAATTAAAGACACTTGTAGAATTGCCTGTCCGTTTACAACATCAGATTTTCAGAAGAATTGAAACCCCATTCCAACCAAAAATTCTATTCATTCTTGTAAATCCATTTTTCCAGCTGCAATTTTTATGTTGCTTATAACATATTTTTCAACAAGTGAAAACAAAGTTTGCAACCTTTCTTAGGGTAAGAAATATACCTTTTATGACAAGAAACCATCCAAATGACGAAATAGTGCAAACCTGGAAATTTTTTCTGAAAATCTTGATCTTTGATGAGCTTTCTCTGACAGCATACTCTCCATCAGATGACCAAACGAATTCCAAAGCTGAACCAAAGGACCTATTTCTCCATGTTAACGCAGTATATATGATGTACTCACCATCTCCACAGACAACAACAAACCTACCATTTGGGTTATGCTTTAAGCTCTGAGAAGAACCAGGTAGAAAAAAGTGTAAATGGTTGTGCACGAACCCAAGCATAAGCACTACTTATAAAAAAGAATTAATCAACAAATTTTAGGAGGGACCCTTAATCTTATGCTCAAATTCATTTAAATAAGGCCAGAAAGCATCAACTCACTTGGGGATATAGATCACATGTCCCTAATTCCTTGACAGCCAAGGGCAATCTTTCTCCATTGGTAACCTAGAAACCAAATAAAAAAACCATCTTAAGATGAAAATTCCTGTACTAGAAGTCACAACAAGAATGCAGAGAGAGAAATATTTTACAACAAATACATTTACCTCAAAATCTGCTCCTACACTCTTAATATTCACAGTTTGAATTTCATTGTGCTTAGGCCATATGATTTTCCCACTGTTGTCTATACTTGCTACAAGAACTTCACGACCAAATTTCACCATAATAGTTCCTTTCCTCACCCAATCACAATCCTGCAAGATAGAATTACATTGTACTCTTAGCCTCTTAGGCATAGCAAATTAAGTAAGAAGTATCATGCAAACTAATCAATGAAAAAAAGAAATGCAACTGAAGAATTCAGGTCAAGCAACCTAAATTAATTGTTTTTAACCTTCAACGAGCACATAGACATGCTCAAAAAATAATGGAAGGCACCGTTCAAGCATTTAATGACCAAAATAAAATAAACTGAAAAAAAAAGAAAAAAAATAAACGTAAACCAGTTGCATGATTCAACCAAAAGTAATTACCTTCGGGAACCTTTTATATATCCAACTGCCCAAACTCTCTCAAGACCTTAATTGAATGTATTTTCAAGCCTGAAAACAAATGAATTGGTCAAAAAATGAAAAGCTTGAATAATTCAAAGATATCACCGCATACATGAAAGCCTATTAAGATCAAAATATCCTAAAGTGACAAGCGAATGAGAACAAACTGTAAATGGTAATGCACCATTATGGCTCCAGACCATGAATTTCTACATCTAACTGAATTGAGGAATGAAATGGAACCTTGATATTTATGCAGAAACAAAGCCAGATAAAATCAGTCCCATCACAAAGCAAATGGGCACTAAAAAAAATTAAATGGGTAATTTAGTATGTTCCTGCATAATTTTTTTTTTATAGGAAATGGAGGCCTCGTTAATTTCCTGCATAATGATTCAAGTTTACATTTCTTAATTTCCTGTATCCCACAAAATAAATGGCCACCGGAAAAGAAAAGGGGAATATCTTCTATCCCAAGAATCACCTATATGTGGTAGCATGCCATATGCGAACCGTCCCATCCTCAGAACCAGTAATAATAATTGGAAGTTCAGGACGGAAACAAACTGCAGAAACATTGTGTGTGTGGCCTTCCAATGTCTGAACACAACTTTTGGTTTGGTAGTCCCATACCTGCATCCATGAGAATTATTTGTTAACAGTTCCATCAATATTTATTTAAGATGAAAAAGATAGCAAATACGAATAGTAGCTGCTTACTTAGCAGTGTGATCATCAGACCCAGTGATTAGGTAGGGCTTATCCCAATCTGTAAAGTAATCAACACAATTTACACCTTTCTGATGGGCATCCAAAGTAAAATTTGGGTCCAGGGATCTAAGGTTCCAAATCTAGAATTTCAACATATCCAAGGCATATTTAGCATGGCTATACCAAACGAAGTTGAAATGTAATGAAAAACCTACAAATAGAAAGGCCCTTTATACCTTTATGTACCAGTCAGAGATGCACTGGCAAAAATGTTAGTATCTTTGGGATTAAAAGTTACTTGCATGACATAATGGGAATGTCCCTCAAATATCTGAGTACACACCCAACCCTTTTCCCAGTCCCAAAGTTTTATGAGCATATCATCAGATGATGACAACACATATGGAAGAGTAGGATGGACAGCTACACATCTAATGTAATCAGTGCCTCAAATACTTTGACCTTATCCATGGTGTTGTAATTGTATACACGAATAAACATGTCATCAGCTCCAGCAACAACCCATTGTTTGCGTGCAATAAATTGGCCGACCTAACTGCAAATGCGAGATGTCTAGTTTAGAAAATGATAATAATTCTATCACATACAACCAGAAATGGGAAAAATAAATCGCCACTTAAACAGCTAACCACATACCTGGCAACTCAGTGACCTCAAATCACTTAGCCATGGTCTGTGCACCAAGTTAATAGTAACACTAATCAATAAGTGAAAAATCCAAACAATACAAAAGGTTCAAAATAAGCCTACTACTACTTAAATAACATGTTAAGAACTAAAGTTTCAAACCAATTATATTCCATGAAATTAAAAAAAAAATCTATAGCCCTATATTCGAATAATCATGTCAAAGGGAAAATGAAACTTGTTCTTTTCAATAAAAAGAAACAAAAAAAATGACAAGCAAAATGAAGTCTTACAGATATAGGACTAGCCATATATATATAAAGCAAAAAAATTCCATGTTCCTCTATTCAGAAAAAAAGTTTATGCTTGTAGCTTTGCAAATAATAAACACCTACAGGAAAACTAAGAATGATTTAGTCGAAAAATATAACTATGGGGAGCTATATGGTGTAACGGTTTTGGGTTAAGGAGCAACTCATGGAATACAGTTCAATTAAATTCAGAATATTAGTACATAATGGATTAAAAATCAATGGTTAAGAAATTTGTAAAAGTGATATGTTTCATTAAAGCAGCTCAAAGTTTAAAAACTCCAGAGGAAGATTTAATAGGGACTGTACTCATAAGATACTTGTAAGAAATTTACAGGTTGAACAGGTTTTTACTACTTCAACCAATCTCTGGTTCCATGCCCATACCGGACCAAGCCTCCAGTTCCTGATTGAACCAGTGGTCCAATCTGTTTTTTTTTTAATTCATTCAACCCACAACACACAAGGGAGTGCACTGTGAAGAAGGTGGGAACAACGCTTCAAAGAGTAACATAAAATCAAGCTCTGTGATGCACTTTACAAAATTGTTCATTTCCTACTAAAAATATATAATATTGAAGGAAAAAAAAACTGAAAAAACACATAAGTTAGTGTTCAACTAAATTTCAGGTATTAATTGTGACCATCAATATGTACACCTATTCACCTATTTTCCAGCTCTGCCACAACTAACATGGAACACAGCAAAACTTATAGTTCGACAGCTATTTACAAAATATAAAACTTGCGTACCTGTGACTGCTAGTTCAAGATACACAGAGTTCCAGAACAAACTAGCTAGAATCCTTCAATGACAATTACAACATATCATACGTCAACTTCAAGCCTGAAAAGATAAAATTCAAATAAATAGGAAACTAAATTAAGGTTGAAATTACCATGGTTCAGTGGGATGGAGATCTACAGATTTTACTCTCTCTGATCTTTGAGCAAGTTTCCTCTAATCCAAACATCAAAAAAAGAATGTTACAATACAAATTACCACACACCCAATCCAAGACACCAAGAAGATCTAATCCACACATAGAACGGAACTCGAAATGAAATGAATAACATGTACCTTAATTTCAAGTCTGAGCGGCCGTTAAACACCAAAGCAAAAAGAAAAAAGAAAAGAAAACAGAACTAGCCGAAGTCAAGAAAGAGATCTTAAATCAAACTCATTCAATAAGAGGCCAACTCTAAATCACCGGATCAATATCCAAACATTCATATGTGATGTAACACTCCAACTTCATAATATCCCATTTTTTCAGGGTGTTTTTATTTAAACCGGATGTTTAAATTTTAGCCGTTGACATATGTCTAAAGACCAATTAGTCTTTTAAGCTTCTAAAACGTCTTCCTTATGACCCTCCTAAAAGAATAGATTATTTAACTTAAACTAGTTCTTTCTCATTGCGGATTAGATTTCATATCCAGAGAACTACATCCTTAAGCTCTTCCCGAGAAGTGAAGAAATACCATGAATTATGCCGCAAGGGATTTCTTCACACATGATTGTTTGTCAGTCAAGTATCTGCACGGAATAGTTTCAGATTCAGTCCATATTATGACATCTAATGAAAAGGTAAAAAGAACGTATATTAAAAAAAACACTCTTTTACCAACAGTTGGGGGTTAATAATCAAAAGCAGCGTTTTGAAAATTGGACCGGACCGGCCGGTTCAACCGGGAACAGCTACTTAGTCCGGTTCAATCTATACCAGTTGAACCGCTATTAGTGAACCGGCCGGAACCGCTGAATCGTTCGAACCAGACCTGCTGAAAACCGGAAAAAATCGTCAATTTTTTTTAAAAAAAAATTAAACCAAACGACGTCATTTGTTAAACGAGCCAAGTCGAACTCGAGTATTGCTGAGCTCGACTCGAACTTGAAAACTTTAAAAGTAAGCTCAACTCGACTCAAACTCACGAGCTAAAAATTATCAAGTTCAACTCGAACTCGAAATATAATATTGAAACTTGAACTCGAAAAGGCTTGAACTCAAAAAAAAATTAGAAGCTCGATTGAAGCCTAAAATTCGAGCTGGATTGAAGTGAAAGAATAGTTCACTCAATGGTCACCAAAAGGCTCTATGATTTTAAATGTCAAATTAGCTCTATTATTTATAGAAGTTAGTTGGGATGCTCTTCTATGTTTCTTAGTCATGTGAGATTGTTTTGTTCTCATATTTTTATTCTTTAGACTTTTGGGATGCTCTTCTATGTTTCTTAGCCATGTGGGATTGTTTTTAAAAAAAATTAAACCAAACAATATCATTTGTTATGATTTTTAACTCCAAATTATTTTTTTTTAATTATGTTTATAATTATATTTATTATTTAATATGTTTTACCTTAAATATTATGTTGTAGTTAATTTGAATCATTTTGTTTCACTTGATTTTATGATTTTTAACTTATATATGTTTAACTTGCTTTAAATATGACTTGTGATATAAAAAATTATTTTTTATTAAATATTTTTTGTATTTTTATTTAATTTTTTAAATAATTATGACGTCGTCCGGTTCTTCCGACCGGTCGAACCGGTTCGACTGATTGAACCAATGAACCGATAGCATGGCCGGTTCGTTAACCAGTCTGGTTTTGAAAACCATGATCAAAAGTTAAAAAAACACCTTTTTTTTTTTCCTGGAAATGCCTCCAAGAACATCACTGCTATCAACCAATAACGAAAAAAAACATTTATTTTATAATTACGAAGTCCTTTTAGCATATATAGGAATCATCTCTTCCTTGATCTGTATCGGGTGAATCTCTCTCAGTTCCCTTTTGCATAATATCACCTAGGAAAGCCATCACTGCAACTCCAGTACCATTCACAACCCACCAGGTAACAGAGGAAGGCCAACCTCCATATATAAGGCATATAAAAAGATGGATAATATAGAGGGTGGCCGGAAAATCTAAGCACTTCTTGCCCTTTCAATCAAATGAATCATGTAGCCAGCTCTGCATAAGACCCAAATAAACAAAAATGAATTAAAATGAGCTAAGTTTAGAAAATGCCTAGATATATTACAATATACTTCCATGTCTTAATGGAGATAATATCTTCATAGAAATAATATTTAGCTCCCGCCATTAATTCATACCGAAAAATTGAATCAGCAAAATAACAGATCCAATGACCAGGGCAGGGAGGTAAATTACTTCCAAGCTTAACTACAATGTCTTAAAAAAGAGTTAAAGGTGTTAGAGTATACCCAAAGACCAATCATATGATGATTGTAATAATACTTTTATTAACCGATTTTATTGAATAAAGATATTGCCGCTATTATTTTCAGTTATATAAATGTGTTTAACATAAACTGGAAGATAATAAAGTCCATATAATGACATAATTGTTATTATTAAAAGATTTCTAATCAAGTATTATTATGGGCATGGACAATAATAATACGCTTAAGACTAACATGTTATTGATTGATGACAACGAGTTGTCATTGACATAGAGATGTCAGAATTGATACATGATTATATTGTTAGAGAACAATGTATTGGATTGACCCACCATGAGCATATGTCTTGGATTATTATGTAACAGTCATAACATTGCTCATGGTGATGACTATGTATGATCCTCAGACTTGAGATCAATATATCCCAACATATTGTATGTTTTGATGCAGCTAAACAAGCTCCGTAACTGGTTGCTCTATAAAGACTGTTATTGAATATATCTCAATATATGTAGTGGGTGTGTATGATTAAGATAGGATATGGCATTCTTACATAATAGGAAATATATCACAGGTCACTTGATTGAGTAAGACTAGAAACGTATGGCCATGCTCGAATAAGTTGATATGAGATATCATAAACTATTCGTTAATTAAAATCTACTCTAGAAATCAAGAAACAATAGATGGGCTATACAAATGTGACTATTCCAAGACTTGTGCCTATTCTAGATATAAAGAACATTAAGGATATAATACATAAAAGAGTTAATCACCAAGATGATATGTCGAATCATATTTTCTTGTAACTTAGGTGACAATGATATATTGTTAGATGTCACTCATTGTATGTAATTACTTCTAGTAATTACTTCTAATGTTACAAGAACCTACAGGGTCACACCCTAAGATTGAAACGAGCAAAGATGTACAATTTGTTGTACATTACTAAAATATATCTAGAGTTAATTAAGTATATATTTTAATAATCCTGAATATTTAATTTCAATTAATTAAATATAGATTTATTTAATTTGAAATAATAAAATCCCTGATATGATTAGGGTAACTTGGATATAAAAGGATTATTAAATTCTAATTAATTAAATATAGATTTAATTAATTCGAAATAATAAAAACTCTAATATGACCAGGGTAACTTGACTATAAAAGGGTGTGTTAAGTCTAACAGTCGTTTTTGTGAGAACACACACAAAACTTTCAGTCACTTTCTCTCAAAACTGTTTTGGGGAAAAACAAAATTGCTCTCAATCGGGTGAACTGAGTAGAGGCCGAGACGTGATTTCGTGGAGGCTTACGATTCGAATCGATCTACACCACCAGAATTTACTGCTTTCTTTGCTGTTTTTCAAGTAACCCGCTGTAAGTATTCGCATCTCTCCCTCCCGATTTTAATTTTTCGTACTTGGATCGCTGGTGAGACCGTCGAGTTTTGTTTCCACTGAATCATGGGGTATGCCGACGGTCCAACAAAAGGCTCGATCAACTTTACATTTCGACTTCAAAAAGCATGTGCAGAGATTTCTAAATCCTAGTGTTCAGTACCAGAGAAAAAGTAGACATGCCATAAAACTAATGTCACACACCATTGTTAAACACCAAAAGTGTAGGGCATAATCTGTATATTTTTTTATCAAAGCCAGTTGTACAACTTATAACCATGGCTAAGACAAAAGCAATGAGGATTATTTAGTTCAATCATAAGCAACCATTAGGTGTTATGAGGTACACAGAAAAGGCTAGGCCATGGTTGAGCAAAACATTCGTTTATGAAAATAACTACTTACTTATATTCAAGCAAATCTAATAGTTAGTATATCCACAAGGAATCAGACAGTAACCGATCATGTCTTCTATCAAAACTTAAACAGATAATGATACAAATGAAACAAAGGAGGAAATTATACTCTTAGTTTCTCACCCTGCAACAGCGCTGAACAGAAACGAAGCAATAACACACCAGCCGACAAAGGTGGAGGATGTAAGAGTAGCAAAGTCAAAGAAATAGACCAAGCTCATACGAGAAACGTGAGTACCAACAACAAAGGATAGGAAGACTCCAAGCGTCAGATAGTATTGAAGGCAAACAATTTGGGCTACAATAAGCCAAGGATCCCATACCATCGCCCCGTAGAACATGACTGCGATTGAAATAAGCCAATTCCTTATATCCAAGTGTCAGATCCTAAAAAAATAACAGGTTCCTTTGAATAATTTTCTTCGAACCCCAATTCTTACAAGAAATTAGATGGACCAATGCAAACCATTGGCTGCCAAGATGAAGAAAAACCCAGTTTTTGAACAGTGAAAATTCAATGCTTAACTGGGTTTGATGTTCATATTTTTTTTCACTTTTTAGTGCCCAAGATCGAGACTCGGTGAACTCGGATCTGGTAAATCAGCGAGTAGAGGAACAAACCCAAATCTGATGAAAACCAAATGTTTCTCAGATAAATTAATAAAATATATTTCCCAATGCCAGCTAACTAAAATAAAATTGAAATTTTGGTTCAAAAAAGGAAAAGAAGGAATGATTAAAAACTGAATATGGAGATCGATGCAAGAGAGACGAGGAACCGTATGGCTGAATGAATTCTGCAAATTTTGATTTCCAAAACTTCTGTTTTCAATTTAAAGAAGAATTAATTACATAAGTACCCAAATTATGAATTTCATTATAAATTTATCCCTAAATTTTTTTTCATTTTAATTTATCCCTAAATTATGACTTTCATTCTAATTTAATAACCAAACTTTTGAATATTGTACTTTATCCCTAAAGCATGACCCTGATTTTAAATTAATTCATAAACATTTGATCATTTTAATTCATTCACAAATTATTGGTATATGTAATTACACCAATTGTTAATAAACTGTTATAAAAAAATTAACTGTTGCTTAAATATGAATGTTTATTATAAATAATATAATGTGATATAACGGAAATTAATATTGAGTTTAAATAAAATGATCTAACTTCAAAACATGGAAAGAATTATAAATATCTTGAGATACCAAATATAGAAACCAATAACTTTTTTTTTTTGAATTGGAAACCAATGACTTTTCAATTTCATTTTAAATAAAATTCTTAAATAATCTGGAATAATTCCTACCATGGAAATAACACAATTACTCAAACTTAAATTTTCTAAAAAAAACATTTCTTATTACTATTGAAATCCCTTAATAAATTCTAAAGATGAATTAAAATGTAAAAAAAATCATGTTTCACGTTCAATTTTATTAATAATTTGAAGAAATAGTAACATTTCTCATTACTAAAACGTTACATTCCGAGTCTTTTTATCTATGAAATTTTCCTAAAAATTTAATCTTACTTTCCCATGGTAGGAGTCTTTCACTACTGTCATCGTTTTCGATATAATTGATATTAGAACATGCTATTTTCTGTCATATTCTTCTCGATTTGATTTTTTCTCAAAATCTCTTCGATATCAATTAAATTCATATCAGAACTTCAACATATCTTTATTCAATTTGTAATCTCCACCATGTAATCAATATAAAAGTGAAATATATTAATTTTCTTTTCTTTCTTGACCTTCCTCAGGGATGGACCGAGAGCTGCGGGTGAGGACAATCGCCCCCCTAAAAATTTAAAATTTTATATGTTTTAAATTTTTTATGTATTTTTTATTGGAAATCTATGTTTGCCCCTAGAATTTTATAAGGTTCGTCTATTCCTAAAATTTTATAAGCTCGCCCTCCTCACATAGATTCCTACGTCCGTATCTGGCCTTCCTACTGTTTGAATTTAGACACTTCACTACCATGAGACAAATACAAGCAAAATTGAAAAGTTCATTGATGAAATAAAAATTAACTGAGAACTTGTGTTAGCATTCCATCAGTTCGAAATAAACAATGGAGATTTACTGCAAAAGTAAACTCCTTAATTTAACAGACTGGGTCAGATTATATAACAATACGGCCGTATTGCGAAGAATTCCTCAACTAAGCATACAATGGATTTTACATGCATAAGTAAATTCCTTACTCGGCATGCTCGACGTCAGATTTAGATTTATCACAACAATACAATGGTATTGCGAAATTAAAACACAACAATCAAATCCATGATTAAGAATATACCAGAGCTTCGTGTACCTCATTTTGAGCTACTTTTTCTCCTCCTGGTAGTAGTTTTCCTTGCACTGGCCGTCACCTTTGCTTCAGCTTCACTTTCATCTTTCTACCTAGGCTTATCGTTTACCAGAACATCGGATGAATTTATTTGACTCCTCAACCGTAGTATTTCTCCCTTAGCAGATGCCAGTTCGTCCTCGAGTTTCTTCACTTGCTTTCCATTATCCCTTTCCTTGCCAAGTGAAATCATTAGTTTATGAGCATCTTCCATGTTTTCTTGGGCTTCTTTGGAGGCATTCTTCTGCTGTGTAAGCGTTCTATAGAGAACCATTTTCTCATCCTCAATACCAGATATTTTAGCATTAGAACTTTCAATGTCCTTAGAAAGTTATAATATAGAACATCGGATGAATTTATTTGACTCCTCAACCGTAGTATTTCTCCCTTAGCAGATGCCAGTTCGTCCTCGAGTTTCTTCACTTGCTTTCCCAAATTATCCCTTTCCTTGCCAAGTGAAATCACTAGTTTATGAGCATCTTCCATGTTTTCTTGGGCTTCTTTGGAGGCATTCTTCTGCTGTGTAAGCGTTCTATAGAGAACCATTTTTCTCATCCTCAATACCAATTTTAGCATTAGAACTTTCAATGTCCTTAGAAAGTTATAATATATTTTGTCTCACCTCATCAAGTGACTTGGTAGCCTCTTCCAGGTCCGTTTCAAGTGATTTTCTTTCTTCTTTATCCTTCAAGATCTGCTTCTCCAGAGCCTGCTGTTCTTTCTTTAAAGAAGAAACAACAGCTTTCTCTTCTGTCAGATCATTGGCCGCAGTTTCTGCCTTTTTATACACATCTACCAATTCCCATTGAAGGATATCTCGGTTTTCTATCATAGATGTCAGCTCATGAGAAAAAGTCTTCAGCTCCTCCCTAATTTTCTTCAGAAGCTCTTTTGAAGCTGAAAGCTCACAACTTCGCCACTTTGTTTAGCCTCATCAAGGCTACCCTGCAGTCATAGTTTAGCTTCATCAAACTCAGACCTGACCTTTCAAATCTTAGACTCGAGCTCTTTACAATCCGTTCTTCGTTCTTCAGTTGCTCGAACAGGTTAGAAGCCTCACTTTTGGACTTTGCAAGAGTTCCCTCGGCAGTTAGGAGTTCTTATTTCAGGTTTTTTACATTCTGCAACTCTGCCTCAAGTGCTTTCTTCAGGTTCACTTTTTCCTTGATCAAATCCGCAACAATTGCTTTATTTTCACTTGCATCATTTAGGGCAACCTCAAGTTTTTCCTTTAAATAGTGAATTTCTTTTTCTCTTTCCCTCAAAAGTTCAGCATCAACTGTTAAGGAACCTATCCTTGCATTTAATTCATCCACCACAGAATTTTTCGATTGAAGTTCACTTTGATTTCTCTGTAGTTCTTCTCTCAAACCGTCGATCTTGGAACTTGCTTTCCCAAGTTCTTCCATAGTTTTCTTATGAGTAATTTCAAGTTTCTTTAACTCTGATTCCTTTTCAGCAAGGGATGAGCTGAGCTTTTGAATGTTATTTTCCATATCTTTGAGTTCTGAACTGAGCAGGTTAACTTTTCTTGTAAGACATCACTAAATCAAGCTTTTCCTTCAGTTCTTGTTCAAGAGATCCTTTTTCCCCGGCTTTCGAGAGGTTGCTTTGGAGACTGTCTATTTGAACTCTAAGGTTCTCAATTAACTTCTTCTTGTTTTTAAGGTTCTGTGCTAAACTTGAAATTGTATTCTTAGCTGAATTTAGTTTATCCATTAAAGACAGATGTTCTTCCTTTGCCTTTTTGAGTTGCTGCATTTGTTTTTCACGTTCTTTTAGCAGCTTTGATTCAAAGTCTTTCTCCATTGAGAAAATTGCAGCTTCCTTCTCTTGCAATCTTCAACTGTGCGTTCCAATCAATGCGAAAACAGTTTTAAATCAAGCCATTGAAATTAGTTAAGAACAGCAAAACCGTGGAAAACAGCAAGAGCATTCTTTTATCTCTAATATTTGCTTTTGTATTGTCCTTTCGCTTCCAGAAAAAGGAATACTTGACAGGAGGTAGGGAAGTAAGGAGAAGGGTAGTTTGAAGACAGGGAAAGACAATAATATTGTTGAAAATGAAAACTACGTTGCTCTGGTTCTACGTTTTCCATTAAGAACTAGAGTCAGACACGAATCCAGACATGGAGAGTATATGAGCCTCCAAGTACCCTCCAAATACAAGAAAAAAACATGGGAAAAATGAACATAGGTTAAAAAGGGCCCGAGGATCCAAAAGGAGGGGATGGCATTAGGTTGAAAAGGGTCAGAGTATCCAAAAGAAGGGAACTCGCTTTCTTATTTCTATTCTTTCCATGCCTTTCCTTGAATACTCAAGACCATCTATAGTGTAAACAAAATTTTACTTTGAAAGTAAGTGATGACTTGACTCTAGGGCTTGATCAGTTGCTTTCTTATCCTTCTGAACCGAAGCATAGAGTGGAGCAAGCAAACTTGTACAAAAAATTCCAAGACCATTCAGAATAGACAGAAAGGGATTAGATGGCAAATCTCCCAGTGCTTCCTGTCCATGCAAGCTTCCCCGTTAAGAATTTTCAAAAACTTTGTCCCAGTGTAAAATATAAACAAATGAAAGGAAAAGGACTGGATGAGATAATAAAGTAAGTGAAACTCAAACCTCTGCCTTCTGGTTTTCCTCTGGCTTCTTTAGCTCACTTTCTGCCTTGTTTTCTTATGGAAAAGGATAGATGAATAAATAAATAAATAAATAAATAAGAAGGTGAACAATTATTACTTATTAGACCAACCCTTGTGAAAGTACTTAAGAATGCAAACAGGACCTTGATAAGAGATCCAACATATATGAATTTGAAGAAAACAGTATTTGGATTAATTTTGATAGAACAAGCACAATCATAAAGATGAAAAGGGAGAGTCTCAAGGCAACTAATCCAGAACTGTTACTTCATACTGATTTCTTCTTCAAGCAAGGCAACTTGTTCAAATACCAAAAAGAACCACTAAGCATTTTACTAAATCCTCAATAAGGGCACCTGTCCTAAATTTTTTGCACTGTTGAACTTTTACTATCCAAACCGTCCTAATGATGTTGTTCCACTACCATTTAGAGGAATGTTTCTTTTTTTCACCTGGAAGGGGATGGGATTAAATATTTAACTCAAATACAGTAAAACCTGAAACAAAATTCTTAACATAATAAGGGAAAAAGGGAAAGAAATCAAATAAAGGCAATCAGTGCGGGTGTTTCCCAATAGCAACTGCCATTTGCAGCTCCCTTGTTCCTTCTTGTTATCCAATTTTACTCCTCTCTGTCCCTCTCTCTTTGCAATTCGCAGTTCTAAGCAATCTCTGGCTCTCATAATGGAAGATAGATCTATCTAATTACCTCTTATCCAGGACAACAATAAAAGTGTTAAGTTCATCAATTGGCATCAGGCCAGTTAACAGCCATATTTGAACATCATTTCAAAGTTCACAACAAATGTCAGCAAAATCTTATTGCAATTTCTTCAAGAAAACAATCTTGTTCCCGGGAAAATGTTTGAAAAGGAATATAAAAACGTTAAATATAATAGAACATCCCTCCTAGAAGCAAAACATTATATATTCAAACTCTCGATGCATCCAACAGCTGTTTCATGAAATGCAAGAAGGAAAAATGAATCAAAACCCATAAACAGGCAACTAAAATTGACAACCTGACATTTATTTCAGGTATGCTTGGGAGTATCAAGGAAGTGTATAAGATATGACAGGACAAAACTGATCAGTAAACAGATATCAATTTATATTATTTCAAAACATGCATAACAAAAAGTATTTAATCGTAACTTGATCTTTAACATTTATTTATACAGTGACCAATCTTAAGATGTGAAAACAATCAAATCATAAAATCTAATGAACATTAAAGCATTGCCCACGCATTCAAGCACACTTCTAGAGTCTAGACATGGTTCATCCAATGGGATTTTAATAATTTCAAGAAAAACTAGAGATATTCCATTTTAACGAGTACTGTAATTTGATTAAAAAGGGAAAAAAAGAAATGAGGCTTACTTAAGGTGGAGACTTCAATAGCGTTGGCTCTGAGCTGGATGAAAGGAAGAATGGAAATACCCACAAGAAGAACCGTCCTCCTCTTTCGAGAAACCAGTTCGGTTGGATCTTGATGAGACAGATAAGCCATTGGAGGCCTGAAGCTTCTCCTTCTTCTCTTGGACTTTGCATCTCTGAGGTTAAAGTAAACGGATTGAGAAGCAGAATAATAAGAAGAAGAAAACAGCAGTTGAGAATTGAAAATGGGAGTTTGCAAATAGCAGGAGCTCCCTATCACGAATCCCATTTCTACGTTTTTCGCCTTTTTTTTTTTTTTTGTGTGTGTGTGTGTGTGGAGAAGTTGGAAATTAGAGTAAGCAGGAAGCTGGCTCGCTCGCTGTCTACTTTGCTCTATCTTCAACTTTTTTTGGCTTTTTTGTCAGTGGAAGTTCTTGAAAGACAAAATTGTCCTTGTGATAATATCGCTGAAAATATTTATGATTGCTCTATGAAATGATCATTGCACATAAACTCTTAACTTCTTTATTTATTATAAAATTAATTCATATAATAATAAACAATTTTGAATATTACTCCCACTACATAATTCAATATATATATATATATATGCATTTATCAATACATTTAGTGGATTGGGCATGATGGGGCAAATTGGCAATTTGAAATGGAGAATTTTTTTAGATGGAAATTTAAATAGAGATGTAGGTCTGTCCATTATCCAGGACGGAGAGGGAGTAAATTACTTAACTTTAATACAGATAAGGTTCTAAAAAATAATTAAACCATAAAAATTCAAAAATAATTAAACCACATAAATTTGGGATAAATGATTAATTCTATTAATTTTAAAACTGAAAATATCCTAAAAATAGTTATACCAAAAAAATTTGAGAAAACAAAATTTAATTATAATAATTTTAAAACTATCAATGATCTAAAATGTAATTAACCAATCAAAATTGATAGGAATAATTGCCTCTGTAACCTATAACTTATAATCTTACATCCGTCCGTCCAAACCAGATCTATACATGCTGCATCAAGATTAAACAGCATTTATTCCCAATGCCGGTTTACCACGTGACAACATCCGAAACCTTTTATCCTCTTCTGTTGGCAAGTCATGTTGCCACGTCACACGTTTCCATTTTTTTAACAAAGAGCAAAATCCAATAATTGCAACTCAAAACTGATAAATGCAATCGAATAAAATTTATTTTATTTATTATTATTCTCAAACTCTAGTAATTGCACAAACTAGTCTAGCAACTTCTTCATCTCACATTTTTGGCCTTAATCTTTCAATATTTAGAAGGGATGGGCTGATCATCAAACGGGTGCTTCCTGCACAGTGATTAGTTGATTAATTAGTTTCAATGTTTAGAATGAACGAAAAGCGTAGACGGTTATAGATTGAGAAACCCATTTATAAGTTGCGTAATATATATATATATATATATATAAAGTCACTTGATTTGTACATTTAATAATAAATAAATTATGTAGAAATATATAATTTAATTATCTATCATCATATTATTATAAACATAACATTGTTCATTAACACTGAAACAAACATTTGACATATAATTTAATGAATCATAATTTTAATCTTTAAAATTTATACATCTTATCAGTTTCATCTTAATTCAAAATAATTTAATAAATTTAATTCTTTATATTTAAAGTTTTTACTGATTTAAATTTTGCACGATATTATTAAATCGAGCAAGTCTATCATATCAAAGTAAAAATTGAATAATTATCATCTATCATAAAATAATAAAAATTAAATAAATATTTTTTAAAAAATATTTAAAAAATTAAATTTATTAAGTTATTATTTTTATTAATCTAAAATGATTATAAGACAATATATGTTCGAAAGACTCTCAACTCATTTGATAATAAACACTTAATCACCTCTAACATACAATATGCTTGAACCCACGGCAACAATCATTTTAATCATTGAAGTAGTTTAGTTCGGACAAATTTATTAAATTATTTTAAATTAAAACTAAACTAAAAAATATACATAAATTTTAGACATTAAAATTATCATTACACTAAACCGCGTCACCATTTCCATCTCATATTTAACATTGGCATTTATAATATATTTTTAATTAAATAAAAAAATTATAATATTAAAAAAATAATTCATAATTCATTATCAAACATAAAATTGTAACACACCTTGGTTTTAAAAAGCGTGGAGCGCCCTAAAGCGCCTAGTGTCCTAGACACTGAAACACTAAGTAAAAGTGATCGCTTTATTCACAAGAAGCGTCAGAAAGGTCGAAATTCAAAAAAAAATACAGAATATTTATAAATTATCTTATAAATACTTAAATATCAAAGTGTCAATGCATATATTTAAAACTTATAAGCACTTAAACACCAAAATATAATTCTCAATTTACTTATAAGTTATAAATACTTAAATACTTATATACCATTAACCATACGACTATACGAGCATATTAATCTCAAAAAATGATCTACACCAAAAATAGTCTAAAGTGAGATAAACAAAAGTATTTTTCTAAACCCTCAATTCCTTATAACTAAAAATCCTCTAAATCGTCATCGTCATCAACTCAGACAACACCATCTCCTTTATCACTAGATAATCCAATATCTTCTTCCATCTCATCTTCATCAACTAAACATCTACGAGATGGTCTACTAAAGATAAGATTATGAGCAGGAGATTTTCCTTTATCATTTCGCAATGGTCCTTCTCCATTCACTACTTTTGATGCTCTAGTTAGATAACTAGGCTCATATGCACCGGAAGCGTTAGCAACATCACTCCATGTCAAATCCTCAATCGTTCTCTGTGAATTTTTTACCGCTCAACCTCAATCGTCCTTTGTAAATTATTCGATTACCGCCTATTTCAATCGCATTTTTTACCCTAACCCACCTAAACTAAAAGCTAATCTAAGCCTAATAATCTAATAGCCCACTAAATCCTAAACAAGCCCAAAAATCGTATCTGCTAAAACCCAAAATCATATCTTCTAAACTCGCAATTAAGTGTCGATTAACGCTTTTAGCAAAGCTCTGATTACTACCGCTTAATGAATTCATAGTACTTTTGCTATGCTGAAGCGCCAAGGGCCTCGCTCGAGTCGCTTAGCTCTTTAATCGCGACACTTTTTTAAACACGGTAACACATAATTGAATGTTCATCAGCATTGCCAGTACACCATGGGAACCCTGATTTGATTGAACGAGATCGAAATCACTAAACCAGGAACAGATTATTCCCGCCAACAATCATGATCTATTAAATTATTACAGACAAGTAATATTAATCTTGAGAATGTCACATACATTCAGAGTTCAACATTGAGTCCTTCAAGTTCAAGAGGTTTAGACAGCATCCCACAGAGGAGCAAGAGTAAAAAAAGACATAAAAGGCAGAAGAAAACCGATGAGATGGGGCTCATCTAATCCAAAATTATAATGCAACAAGCGTCTATTAATATTGTTTTGTATCTCCGAACTATAAATTAAACTCGATGCTGATTCGTGATTTATGCTTTGATCATCCATGGCTGCAAGTATATTCACATAAACAGCTCTTTCTTTACGAACAGATGATCATCCGGGTTAATGTTATCACTCTTGGCATCGATGCCTACAAAAAGCAATCAAAATAATAGTCCATTACAGGTCTTCATCGTTGCTCTCCTCCAGAGAACCGTTGGAGGAATTATTACAAGATTTCTCCATTTCCTCCCCGGCAAAAATCTCCTGAGAGCGGCAATCGAGGCTGCAAAAAGCCTTTTCACCTCTGCAAGACTCGGAAGATCAAACACTCGGCCATTACAAGAAGATGCAAACTGAAGTAAGAGTTGTGTAGTGATGTAAAGAGTACAAACCTGTACATGTAAATGTCTTCGTCTTTCCCTAGTTTTTTATTGCAAGTGTAACAGAAGCTCAAATACTCATCGGAGGGGTAAAGTGCTAAAGTCTTTTCGCCATTACCTGGTGTAGCCACTTTGGTACAGGGCTCAATTTTTCTGTCAAAAATGGTTAACTCGTTGTTGTGACATTCCAAAATACAGTCACCGAAAGCATGAGTCGTTTTAGGGTTTGGACCATGAGAAATTATACAAGTATAATCCTCAGAAAGCTCTATCTCATGCGCAGGAAGAGATACCAGGCTATTGCTTAAGAGTATAGGAAGTGAACTTGGTTTACTTACCAAAGAATTGTCTACTTGCAAAGATCTGACAATTGGCAGAGGTGAACTACTAGTGCTGATGGTTCCATTCTCTGAACAATAACTTCTGGAACTCAAATTCAGGTTTTTTGTTGAGGAAATAGAAAAGGAGGAAAGCCCGGGGTCTGGTTTGGGTTTTACCTGTGCCTCCTCATTTCCAAAGCCAAGACTAGAAATTGTTGACTTGGCATTGGATTTTCCAGCTTGGAAAAGCTGGGAGATTATGTAATTCCTAGGCAAAGAATTGGATTTCATAGAATTACCGAGGAATTCGCAGGAATACCTCGAGGAACTAGGAAATTTAGTCTTCGCCTGTGGTCCAAATATTATGTTCTTTCTCTTCGAAGAATCAAGGTCTCCACCATCCGGTTTAATGTCATCAGCAAGCAAATTCACAATGCCCAAACCTATCTTATTGCAATCCCACTTCTTTTGACAACTCCTTTGAGATGGTGATCTAGGAGTCCTAACCCCAAAAGGGTTGCTAAGATTTGCAAACACTCTCAAATCGAGAGGTGATGTAGGGCTTCGCACGGAATCATAATCCGTAGGACCCTTGGTGCTAAATCCAACAATGAAACCAGGAATATTAAAAAGTGAGCTGCTTATGTGCCTAAAACCCAATATAGACGACTCTGAATCAGGATCAGCCATCAGATTACCGTACATGGAACTTGCTTATAAAGTATGTTTTCTTGCACTGCATTATCTATAATACTTCCAACCTTTTAGCAAGAAAATCAGCAACTCCTGACTGCATTAGAATTAAGAATCCATCAATATAAAACAAATGCTAGCAATAATTATAACGAAACAAGTACCATGTACGGCAATACGTTATATATATAAAGGGGAAAACTATCTGATATACAGATGGTGTACACTTTCAGACGCTGCATGGCAAATAAGCAGAACAAAATCATAGCAATTTTCTTCAAAAACAGAAGTTTAGTCGTGTCTTCTAGCCAAAAAAAATAAAAACATCACAAGATCCTTGAATCACATCAACAATGTAAGATGGGGGTAGGAAGAAAAAACTTTAAAATGTCAAAGCAGCTCTAATCTCTCTTCATTTAAAGACGTTTTGGATAACAGATGAAGGAAACGAATCCTCCCAGACTTTTGTTTAACATGATAAGGTAAATCAAAATCAACGAAGTGGCAATCCATCTATAGTTGATATGCAACAATGAACTATATAAATATACAAAGCAAAGAAACAACAAAGCCGATCATTAATTTACATTCAACTCTGTAAAGATGCAGCTAGAAATGGGGATAGCGTAGATTTTGTTGATCAACGTTAACCAAGTCCCAGATTATCATTAACAAAAAAATCTACAATAATCCTAAAAATCAGACCGATTTGAGGGGGGAAAAAGATCTTGCATGCATCAAAACTAACAGAAACATCATCAAAGCTAAGAGATAAAACACGAAGGGACAAGGGGGAAACCTTGGAAATCAAACTGGTTTCAAATAAAGATCCAACCTTTTAAATCCCAAATGCAGATTGATCAAAAATAATAAATAAGCTGAAAATTACTAAATGGAATAGAAAAGAGACCCGCCTGGTTCTCTTCTGTTGATACGTGAAAGGAGAATGAAAAAAAAAATTTGAAAACCCAAAATGCAGAAATAGAGGTTACTTTGGCTTATCAAAAACATAAACTCTCTCGATATAATTTTTTTCATCCATTTTGGGGTTTTTTGTATTGAAGATTTTTAGTTAATTTCCTAATTTCCTTTTGCTTCATATGCAATGCATCAATCAGAGAAACAGGGAACCGCTGAGGCTTCTATTATACTCTTCTTTCCTCCTCTTTAATCATTAAAAAAAGAAATAGGTATTTGTATACGGTGTTTGTAGTTTGTATATAACAGTATCTACTGGATACTTTCTTTGTGAGCGTGACTGCTCTTGAGTCTTGATGGCCTGGTATTTTTTTGCCCCGGTAAATTTTTCCTATGTACAGTAACTGCGTTTTATTATTATTTTTTAAATTTTATTTTATTTTTAAATAAAATATTTTATATCAACTATTTTAAGGGGCAATTTTTCCAATAAATCACCGGTGATCGGTATATTTACCGATCTAACACCGGTCAGATTATATTTTTCGATCTAACATCCGTAGCAGTAAAGCGCGCCTCCTGAACCGTGTTATACGTTGATTTAGCATCACGTGGATATAGCGCGCCCCTGCCCCACGACATACGGTGATTTGGCGCCACGTGGGTATAGCGCGTCCTCTGATCCACGCTATACCTGCGTATCTGACATGTGGGGTATAGCGCGGTGCAGGAGGCGCGTTATACCCCTAAATACCCGACGCCTCACATCCCAATCCTCCCTATAAATACCCCATCCTCAATCACTTTTATCACACCAAATTCTCTCAAATTCTCTAAATTTCTCTCAAATACTCTCTCTTTTTAATGTATATTTTATAATATTTTTACTATTATGTATTTACTTTATTTAATATTTTATTAATATAATTCTTTTGCAGATATATAATAGAAGGCACTCTACTTCGCTCGGATGGAAATCATATATCTCTACACTTTGCTAATACGGTAACATTTTAACGTTTTAATTTAATTTAAATTATTAGTAATATTTAGTTGATTTATTTAATGCATGGTTATTAGATTAAGAATTAAATATCTCGACATTTTGCTGATACGGTAACATTTTAACGTTTTAATTTAATTTAAATTATTAGTAATGATTAGTTGATTTATTTAATGCATGATTATTAGATTAAGAATTAAATATCTCGACACTTTGTTGATACGTTAACATTTTAACGTTTTAATTTAATTTAAATTATTAGTAATAATTAGTTGATTTATTTAATGCATGATTATTATATAAGAATTAATTTTTGTAATTATTTATTTTTAGGAGAAGGACCGTGTATTAGATCATTTTATTAGGAATCTTAAGGTAGTGATACCCAGCCGTGTCTTGTCGTATTTAGTAGAAGATGGATTCGGTTACATAGGTAGATATCAGGGTCACTGTAAGATAGAGCCAGACATGATTTCTGCCTTAGTATAACGGTGGAGGCCAGAGACCCACACATTCCATCTTCCGTGCGGAGTGCACGATCACGCTTGAGGATGTTTCTATGCACCTGGGGCTTCCGGTGGATGGAGATGTGATATCGGGGATAGCTTCCGGTTCTTAGACTACTTGTGTCGGGATAGTCTAGGTATACGGGATCCACAAAATGTTTATAGTCTTGACATGTATGCGAGCAAGTTGCTATCACATGAGAGCATGAATACTTCAGAGCTTGAAAAAACCCGCAGTCGCACGTTCTGTCCCTTAGATTTACTCTTAACGACACAGCTTCAATCCCTTGAAGAGGTCGCGGAAACTCTGTGACACGAAACATTTCATGCCTTCTAGAGAAGCTTGTTACAGACATTCCATTTGATGCATCAATTTTTTTTCTATAGATCTGCAACTAATCTAGGGTGATAGACATGACCGCCTTGCATCCAGGTTTGAGCTTGTCCCCCGAGCTTCGCAAAAAGCACCCCCAAACGAAAATATGTAGTTTTTACCAAAGTCGCTACAGGTAAGTGACGTGCACCCTTTAAGGTTGAATTGATTGCCTCAGCCAAGTTGGTTGTCATGTGTCCATATCGATATCCACCATCATATGCGTTCGTCCACATTTCTTTATCGATGAGGCTGATGTAATCGTATCCTTCCTCGTTCTTCGCCCTCAAATCTTGAAGCATTGATTCAAACGTTCGAGGAAGTAGTTCGTAACCTGATCAAAAAATGTATAACTTACTAACTTGGTTTCACTTACCCATGCGCACAATTAATTGACGCTCATCATTCTTCTTGTACCTTCCATGATAGTTCGCAGCAACGTGTCGGAGACAATACCTATGTTGGACAAAGGGTGGTTGCCACATTGGACCCAAAGACTCCATTGCTGCTTTGATATCAGCTCTGTGATCTGAAATGACACAAATTTTTTCCCCCGTGATAACATGTGCACATAAATTTCGGAGGAAAAAAGCCCAAGAATCTGTATCTTCTCATTCGACAAGAGCAAAAGCAACTGGAAGAATGTTGCGATTGTCATCTTGGACAACTGCCAATAATAAAACTTGCTTGTATTTTCCATACAAGAAAGTCCCGTCGATCTGGACCACAGGCTTGCAGTATTTGGCATCATTAACGCACTGTGGGTAACTCCAAAAAACCCGGTAGAATTTACATCGATCGCGAAGAACTCGATCATTATGGTATGCATAGGAGGTTTCGAAGTCCACAATTATCCCAGGATTCAACGTCCGCACCAGCCTAAACCAACCTGGAAGTTCGTTGTAAGATGCATCCCATTCACCATGAAGTTTGACAATGACATTTTGTTTTGTCAACCAAGCTTTTTTTTATAGGAGACGGTGTACCCATGCTGCGATTGTATAGCTGAAATCAACACTGCAACAGTTATATGAGAGCTTGCTTTTACCATTGGCATGATGGCTTGACATATCACTTCAGAGTCCAAGTTGGGATGATCTTGGTTGACCCCTCCAGCACAACATGTGTGAGGAACGTTGTATACTGTTAGTTCCCATATGTTGTTTTTCGTCTTCATTTTTTATATGCGAACCATCTAATTGCATTCGTTTTCGCGTTAGGCACAGTAGCATACATATTTTTCGGTCGTCGATCGGTTGACTCTGGACTGAACAAAATTACGGATATTGTAATTTTTGATAGCCATCATCGCTTCTTCTTTGCTTGAAAACTCCATGCCTAAAGATAACTCACCATTATTTATTGATGAGTAATATCCATAGTCACCAAGATGAGGCATATTCGCAAATTCTGGCCCGTACATTGCACCATAATCAGCTTCATACATGTGTACAGGAGGGTCAGTTTGTGCCACATTTCCTGGAACTTTATCATCATCGGAGTTGAATTGCGGTGATTCTGGGTGAATGAATAGTTCAGTCTCAGCACCATCCCCACCAGGCTCACGAAGCGGTTCTTCTGGTGGAGATAATGGTTCCTCCATGCTCTCCACATTTAGGTCGAAGAACCTACTACTTGCACGCCTTCCCCTTGAACTGGAAGACATATCAACATTGAGATCGAAAAAGCTCGCAGCCGAATGCCTCCCCCTGGAGCTTGAAGCCATCGTGTCAAATGGAACTGCACAGATGGTTGCTTTGATAGCATCTCCATATGGTCAAAGAAATTTGCAGATGAATGTCTTCCCCTTGAACTGGAAGCGGTGTTGCCATACAGATTGTTCGTGGACCCACCTCGGTACATATCGTAAGGAGTTGCGGATGAATGTCTCTCTATTATGGTATTAAAATTGTTGAACTATGTTTCGATATAACAATTTAAGGCAAAATGGTTTTTGGACTTGAATTGAATTTACAAAATGTATTTGGACTTAATTGAATTTATTCAAAATTTACAAAAATAATTCAAAGTTCTTTTAATTTAAAATTGAGCACAAAAATGTTTTTATGAATAGTATTTTACTATTTGAATAGTAAATTACTATTTGAACAGTAAATCACTGTTTGAACAGTACCCCGAGACTCAAAAATTCCAGTATGTAAAAGGGGGTACCGATTCCCTCACTGTTCATCAGCCCAACGGTCATAATATTTGAATATTATGAAGGGGTATCGATTCCTATGAAGGGGTACCGATTCCCCCCATTCTGGGCAGCCTATTTTTGCAGAAAAATCATTCCCAAACGGCCCCAAAACATCCCCAACGGCTAGATATGACTTCAAACACATTTCA